GACCTCATTATGAGGTCATGGGTTTCGCGCATATGACTCAGTCGAGTCATATGACCTGTTTGTTGTGTTATGATTAGTTTATGAGTTTTGTACATGACCTCGCTATAAGGTCATAGGTTTTGAGCATGTGATCACTTTGGTCACATGACTAGTTTGTTATGATTTGGTTTCGCACATGTGACCACTTTAGGTCACATGACTAAGGGCGGGAAGAATACTATATAAGGAGGTCTATGCGGCCGAGGAAGATAGGTTTTTCACGCTTTGTTCTAAGTACTTTTCCTACTTATTACTTTAACGAATATAAAACACCTTTACGATCTTTATCTTTATTGCAACGTTATCATTACGCCAAGGAAGGCACTTTACGAAGAGAGTTAGAGAAAGCTTACAATAGGCGTTCCCGATAGAAGACAAAGGTCTTGTACTATCGGTAACATAGGCAGCAGCCTAGAGCTATCGAAAGATGAAGGAAGGAGAAGAGAGAAAGAGAAGTATCGTTCCCCGTCGCCAAGAACCAACTATCCAAGGAGGGATCGTTACAGGTATTCAGTACACTTGACCTTTAATATATTCATATTTGCACCAGATGGTACAATTATTCATGCTACTATAAATGCTCCAGGTAGTTGGCATGATGCAGCAATATCTTGCAACCTATTTGCCAACCTACTACATTATACACCAGAAAGGTATTGGGTAATTGGAGATACTACCTTTGCTACCTCTAATGACCTAGTTGGTCAAATAATCACCCCTCTAAAATCGAATTCTACCAGCTATCCTGGTAATACTACTACTTGCTATCAGTTTATTAGGTTTAATGAGAAACTGGTCTCAGCATAACAGGCAGCCGTGTGGGGAATGTAATGCTTACAAGGCTCATTTGAAAGATTAAAGTTACCAATGCCAGCTCTAGATGCAGAATACTGCTATTGTCTACTGGAATTATGTACATGGCTACATAATTTACATATATACATTGAAGGAATAAATCAAATTTGTACCATTTATGAGGGAATCTGGCAGGGCAATAGGATATATGCTGAGTTTAAAGAATTATTGTTTTCTGATATTAAGAAAAATGACCGGATTCGCCATTACTATACATTTATACCTTAGCATTCTCAATACTAAGTACCAAGCAAAAACTATAACTTACTCTTATCTAAGGTAAGTCCCAAAACTATCTGATCCATATACACTCACTAATAGAAAAATAAGAAACTACTTTCTGAAAGTTGTTTGCTGCTAACCTAATTGGCAGATCCATTTCAATAGCTTAAGTGGTAGTACTGCCAGCCTATCTCTCCCCTTCAAATCCCCTCTATTGCTTCTTCTAAATCAACTAACATATTACAAAAAGGCCTCACAGCAGTACCAGACTCTAACTTCCCCTCTCATCCTGCAACTATCTCCCGCTAGACCATCCTCCCCCCTTCTCCTCCGACCTAACACAAACCTATCATCGAAGCCATCATCAACTGAAAAACTATTGTAATACTATACAATAGGCTCTACCGTTTCTCCACTAACTAAGCTCATCCTATCAAACTTCGATTCCTACCTGCAATCTCTCACAGACAGCCTTTCAACTTTCTCTAGACAGTCAGTTTCTAATCCCACATCATCTTTCTGGTTATCTGACCCCCTACCAAGATTCACACATCAACCTCCTACCTTTCCAACTACCATTAATATAGTGATTATCGGTAGTAGTATAACAGGTACTGCAACTGTAAGAATATTGCTGTCTAACTCACCAGACCTATGAGTAGCTATGCTAGATATACACGAAGCTTGCTCAGGTGCAACTGGTTGTAACGGGTTTATATTAAACTTAACCTTTGGGAATTATTTTCAAAGCTAGCCACAATATTTGAAAGGGAGACAGCAAGGAAGGTAACAGAATTCTGAATGAGTACTCTAGATAAAATGATTGTGATAGCAGATGCGGAGAGTATCACGGAGGAGTGTTAAATTAGAAAGGTAGAAGTAGTTGTAATTGTATCTACTATAATAATCCTACTAATGAAGTCCAAAATCCACCAAGTGGTCATAGTAATAACTACACAAGACACTAACTGGTCTGAGACTTTCTTAAGTTCCATCAAATTGGAAAATTCATGATTGACTAATCACAAGTAGACCTCTATATCACTAAGCTCAAATGCCAATCCTAAGCTACTACAAAGCAATCCATCTTCACCTGAGTAACTGCATATATCAAGTATATGTTCTCTTTTTCATCAACACCTTCTATTTCCTGATAGTATATTGCTTCCAATAAGAACTCATAGACACAGTTATCAAAATTCTGTAACCTATTCAAAATACAATCTTTCCAGAACGTCTCAGCTCCATCGCACAAGCCCATACTGACTAGATCAAGTACAACATCAATATACCAAGAATCAAAGAAGGCAAGTTCTACTGGTCGATGTGCATGGGCAACCTAGAAGTCAAGGATTTATTTATCGTAACCAATTCTATCCAGAGAGAATTATGCAATAACTTCACTAAGAGGTAAAACGAAGCTTTCGAGACCATGAAAATCCAGTACACTCTGAAGACAGAGAAGTATGAAATTGGTCAGGACTCACATTTTACTCAAAGCCGGAGCATGTTGTAGAAAATGAAGAACCTGTTATTGTTTGAGTAGTATACAAATCTTTGAGAGTAAAGACTCACTTGCTGGACTGACCAGTATAGATATTTACTTAGTGAGCCATCTTCTAGTAGGGTGCTCATGACAAGAGAAATAAAGTTACCTGTAATTGGCTTAATGTTTAGGCATTGAGAGGAGGTATGTTGTACATAGAGCTTGGGAGAAGAGAGTAGAAGTAAGTGAAAATAACTAAGTATCATATATAATTTAGCCATAAATCTACATGATTTATTCATGGAACTGCCTGTTTTCATCCTCCAATTAGTAACATCTTTTTTTTGAACCGATCATACTGAGATTTCAACCTGTCATACCTTGCCTTACATTTTTTCAACGCTATTCATACTACCTGAATAGCTTCGGAATCCCTCGCTCTTTTTTCAGAATCTTTTCAATTGTGAATATCATTTGGAAGAGCAACTAGTTTGTATTCGAAGAAGTTGTTAGTTGCTGGTGAGTATTGTATTTAATTGACATTGTAACCTTTAGAGACTTTTTCTATACTGTAGATAATGGTGTAGACTTTGATGGCTTTCTTTCTTGCTCCTCCCAGTCCTATTCATGCAAATATTTAGCTTTGTTTGCTTGTAAAATTAAATTTGAGAGTGTAAACTTACCAGTACTTTATTCCTACTATCTACCTGTTCTTCCTATTGATCCTGAATCTCCAGAGAATATTCATCTCCACCTACTCTACTGCCTAAACTCTTATCATAGTCTCCTAATTTCCAGTTAGTTTATTTCTCATATATTAGTATACAAATTAAATATTTATATATACTGATATTATCATGATCAGACTCTCTAATACCAAGCATGTCAGTCTCATCGTTCTCATCTCCACCATTATCATAATTATCTTTAATACTACCTATTTGAAGTAAGACATCAATTTCCTTAAGTTTAACCTCATAAAGTTCCCAACTTAAATTGAGGTCTCACATTGGCTTTGAAAGTCCCTCTCTAACCTTTTCTGTATAATATTTTTTTAAGAAGTCAGCAGCTCTTTCTTTACACTTCTCACTTCGAGATATTATATTTATATTATACTGAGTTGATACTTGCTCCCACTTGTTTGCTCCAAATAGCTTGACTCTTTGGATCACAGACAACACTCTTCTCCTATCACCTTATATAAAATTGTAAGAGCCTGTTGCTCTTCCACCTCTTGGTTTTTCACTTTTTTTTTTTTTAGTTTCAGATTTGTACTCAGAGATACATAGTTGTCTTTCTGGACTGTAGTATATCTTGCGATTAATTAACCCATATGTTGGAGCTCGAATAGCTGGTAGAGTTTCAAGCGAGAAGTCTATAAGTTTTCTAATATTAGTATTAAAATAATAGTTATAATAATTCACTTATAAGGTATCCAGGTAGTTTACTATGTAGTATGGTAGGAGATGAGAATAAGGATTCAGAGGGATACAGTGAGGATATACAGTCTGCCATTGTTTCTAACTCAGATGTAGGAAGCTATTTCTCTTCTGTAAGTTTCAACTTCCATATTTCATCTTTAATCTGAACTTACATTTCGCTTTTGAGACATATCCTTTTCTTCATCAATTAGCGACTCAACTTGATGAATATCAACTTGAACACAAAGGTATTATGTGATAAGAAAAGGAGCCTCCACTGTCAGGTTATTTGTGTGACCACAATCCGGTAGTTCAATCAATACTCGTTCATTTCATCATCACTATATCTCCTATTTCACAATTTTTATTATACATTGAACTTCTTACAAAATTGTGAATTTACTTATAAGCAATAATATTCCTCTCCTATTCTTTTTCAATTTCCCCCTAATTCTTTTTTATCTTTACTTGATAGAAAAAATCTGGGTATCTAGAAACCATGCCTTGCTACGGGAATGCAGTTGTGTTCTAGCCGAGTTTCTAACTTTCAGATTTATCCAGATTCCTACGGGAAGACCTCCAATAGCCATCCATTCATGCCGGTAAATTATTGAATTCTTAGCCACAAGTCCCTCGATCACACTGGTAATTTATAGTACAGTATCATATTATATATACTTGTTCGAATACCGTTCGATACCCGCAGAGCCAAGGTACTGTACAGTACTTTACATTACCCGTGTTCGCACGATGCGGAAACTTCAAGTACTGTACCGGTACAGTACCAATTATCGCCTCAAAAAATCGTATCCCGGTATTCACTAAAGTACCGCAGAATTTCGTAAATAAGGCGCATCATGAAATATGGCTCATGCCTTATTTCGGGAATTCTGGTTAAATATCATACCAGGAACGTTATATTACCACGGGAGCAGAGACGGAGATAACGCCACCCAGGAATTTTCGGTGCACGAGTGTCTTGGAACCCCACAAAATGTAGATTGTCCGTGCTAACTTATCGTAGAAAAAAAAAATGATAAAAATACATTGCCAGGCAGAAACCAGCATTGGTGAATCAGAAACGCTATGATATAAGTGACCGTCCCGGTCTTTCCCCCCTAACTTCCGAACCTAACCTTTCCCCTACCTCTAAGAAAAAAGAAAACGAAAAAGAAAAAGAACTCCCGACCATCGATTAAAATAGTACAATCAAAGCAGAGTTTGTGCCATTAAAGGTAAAGGAGAACAAGAGATAATCCTCGAGTGCTACTAGCTGTAAGGATGGCACGAAAAAAGTGAGAAGGCATGAAAGGTTTCTTGTCATGGGATCTTTTAGTATATCACTGCATCCTCCCCAGCTTCCTCAACACTCACATCCCCAAGATCAACATCGGAAGCATGTCTCTGATGTTGCTCTTCAACAGGAGCATTGTCAAGGTTAGTAGCGGGATCCTCAGGTGCTTCATATACCATGTCTTCATCCTCATGGGTCCTGTCTTCAGCGAGTTCTGGAGCGTCATAACGATCAGTTGCTACGTCCGGTTCTTGGATGTTAGCCGTTCCTGAATTTTGGTCATCTCCCCCAAGAGTCCCGCGATTTTGCTGTAATTCACGCTGCTCTCTATCGATAATGTCCTGGGCCGCGAGTACCTGTAGTTTGATGCGTTCTTCCTCTTCGGGGGTGAGCTTCCATGGGAGGTAAAACTAGGACCGTTAGACCAAAACAAAACACATATGCCCAACTTTCTCCCCCCCCCCTTCTTTCGAGGATCCATACCAACTTCGGAGACGACTTTGTGCTCAGGGTGTGTGCCTGGTTGAGTAAACTGTCATGGCGAATCTGCATCTATAATCCCCGGCCATCAGCCCCCGCCCGTGCCCAGAGAACCCCACCAACCCCGAAATGCCAGAACGGAGATTCCCTACAGCGCGCTCATCAAATTGCCTTTGCTCCACCATCTTGCGGTGATTAATGCCCTCGTCCTCCCGTTTAAGCTTCTCATCAATCTCTTCTGTCTGTGCCTTGAGTTTCTCCTGAAGTTTCGCTTCTACTTCTCTACGTTTGACCGCACTGTTCCTAGCCCTAACCGAAGAGTTGTCTGCTTGAAATTTCCCGATTGTACCTAATATTGCTCCGAACAAGCGTCTCCCACGACGTTTTTCTTCATCTTTGCTTGTATCCTTAACAGTTGGCTTCTCTGGCGCCAAGTTTGCCTCTATGCGAGCACGTTTGGTAGCCTCGGGGGACGATGATTGGCGACGTTTGTGGCGAGGGGACTCGTCGGAAGGTACCACGACGGCGGATGCAATGGTCCTATAGATAATTTGGTTAGCAAGAGGTTCTGCGAACACGCCTGCGGGGGGAAATCTGCTCACTTGTATTCTTCATCCATTGCGGTGTTGATTGTGGAGATGCTGTTGTAGAGAAGTAAGTTCGAGCAACCCAAACCAAAAATTCCAAGATTGGAGGTTGCCAAGACTAAGAACTCTCGGTTAAACCCGCCAACCTAGCAGCAGCGTATTACTAACATATAACTTTACCTGAAAGGAAAGCCCAACATCAACACCATTGAAAGCTTCAACATCCACAATCCACCGCCCAAATTATGTCTCGCCACCACCCGTATGCGCCCCCACTCCCTCGCCTAGGTAACTGCTGAAGCTGATTTGATTCTTAACAGTGATTTAGTAATGTGCCGCAAGCAAGCTGGAATCGCAATCGGTAGACTCTGCGATAAATGCGACGGCAAATGTCCTGTCTGTGATTCATACGTTCGTCCTACAACACTAGTGCGCATCTGCGATGAGTGCTCTTTTGGAAACTACCAAAACAAGTGTGTCGTCTGCGGTGGAGAAGGGATCTCGGATGCATTCTATTGCTTCGAATGCACGCGACTGGAAAAAGATCGAGATGGTTGTCCAAAGATTATCAATCTAGGCAGTTCGAGGACAGACCTGTTCTGTGAGTTCTTCCATACTTACCTACGATAGAGCGGAGATCAAATGCTAATATATCTACAGACCAAAAAAAGAACTTTCGGAATCATTAGCAACGGTGTGGTGTTTTTTTTTCGGGGGTGATGCCGTGCGCATCTTAACCTCAGGACCAACCTGAGGGGCTGGCGTGATCACCAGAATCCCCATTTAAGTACTTCTAGTTCTCGTATTATTATCATGTATTATTACCGGTATCGTTTGGCGTATAGACTCGGGTTTAGCACAAAACGAGTGGAAGACAAAGGGGGTTAATTGGAACAGAATAATAAATGAGAAAAAACTCAATCACACGTATCTTTTCACTCGAATGAAAGGAAGAAGAAAATAGCACGGAACTCTATGATCTTCCCGCGTAGTAGCTAAGCATTATGATTCAACCAAAAACCCCAAAACGCCCACCCTCCATTCCTCCCATTTCCCACACTATCACAATCCTCCTTGCATAGAAAATGATGATAGCAGCAAAACCAGAAGGTTTATCACCGACCAAACAAAAGGAATCCAAGTGCTCATCCGAAAATACCCAGCTTGATAAACTGCTCCAAGTCTACCCCCACGCGCTGATCAGTATCCCACAGAGCCGAAACCAGAATCACATTGAAGCTCACATAGACCCAACAATACTTCCAGCAATCGTAGCTTCAATCCCTCCAACCACTACGTAGAATAGTGGCACCCCGATCGAGAGCTTGCTCGGCCTCATCGCGAAAGCCCAAACCCCTGCCGAAAGGTGGAAAGCCGCATACACTATCAAAGTCCAATAAAGCGTAAATTTCCATACGTCACGGGGTATATAAAGGTATGCTGCCTCTCCCGGGTTTGGATTTATGGGCCAGTAGAGAGACGGGAAAGAGGGAGGGACATGTCCTGGGGGGGTTATCGAGTCGGTTGCTGGGTAATATCTGTAAACAGAAAAACAAGTTTGGACCAAATTCATTCAAACGTAAAGGGGGGGGGTTACATTGGAGGGCTCATTGTCACCCTTGTTTTATCGTCAACGGGTTTATACGATGCTGTATCATACCGCCGTCAGTTGTTTGTTGAGTGGGTAGTGTATTCCACAGTGAAGCCTAAATATTTCGCAGGAGTGACACACCTCGAAAGTGAAGCTCGATGCAGAACAAGGTAGAACTAGAACATGAGTGAGCGAGTGAGTTGCCTCGGTCACAAAATGTCTTGGCTGGACGTCAACACCAAAGTTCGAGGACACCAGCCGAGCTCGCCCAAAAGCCACCGCAAAGGAGTCTACTCTTCGACCCCCAAACCCAATAATGGTAGTCGACCGCCGTTTAGACAATATACTCCGAATTCTACTTCAGCCCGGAGCGGCAGATCCGAACAATGCCGACGCATCTAGGTACTTCTCATCGCGTTCACTCTGCTTATGGGCAATAACTAAACCCTTGCTCTAGTGTCTACGCCTCGGCCGCAACGGTTCTCGCAACGTTAACAAACCCGCTGAACGTCTCTCTACTATCCACCCAAATCCTGATCTCCCCTGCGATATGGGAAGAGAACTTCGATGGGCTCAAAGCCGGGCTACGTGTCTTTGGAGTCTTCCAGAGTGCTACGGTTGGAAAGTTCGAGACACAGGGGTCTATTCTGAGTGTTGAAGAATGGATTAGTGCCCTCGTTAGGGGGGCTAATAATAACGGTATACTAGACATTTGTGAATAGCCGCAAGGCAAGAGGGCTGGGCTAATGGGGTTGGATTAGTGCCTCGGTGGAAACATCTTTTGCTTCTCGGGGGTGTACTTTCGGCGGATCAGGAACGGTCGCAGCTGCCCAGGGTTACCCGTACAAGTCTCGAGCAGGCGTTTTGTAGGGCGGTGAACCTATCAGTGGAGAGCAATGCTCGTCACGGTAATTGCTCCATCCCATCCAGAAAATGCATAGCTAACCCGTGGGTGTTCAGAGCTTGAGGCGGACGTTCTCAGTCTTGTTTTATCACATGCTATTCAATGCCTTTCAAGGAGAGCAAAAGAGGCTATCCACTACGATGCAAGTTCCCTCTCCATAGCCCTTAATGTCATTCTAATAGAGTAGGCCCTGTTACCCGTGATTGTGAAATCTATGTATAATTCCCGTGAAGGGTTTCAATCAGGGTATTTCCTTTCAACAATTGATCACGATATAATGACCATCGAGGGAAAACTTGTCTGGCCCGTGGGTTGTACTCTAATGTTGATTGCGCTACCAGTGCTAAGCTGTTGTTAGAGTAAATCGAATTCCTTCCTGGAGCTTCAACAGAGGTCTGGAAGGCCTTTGTTCGCAGCAATGAGTGGGCTCGCCCGACTAGCTGCTGCCTCTATCAGGCACTCGCAGGACCCAATGGTCCTGCACCAATTTGTCGATAGGTGTGTATGAGCCTATCTGCTAGGTTGGCTCACTGCTAATTATCCTCAGCCTCTGGGGCTTCTCTCAAGTCCTGAGCGCGCAATGGAAAATGAACGGGCTGAGCGAAATACCAATGTCGGAGGAGAAAAATCGGGTAGATGAAGAATCGCTGAAAGCAACACTTCCCGTTGTCTGGCAGATATTAAAAGCAATCCTCTTCGGATCAACAATGATTCTCCAAGAGCTTACAGCGCGAATTGCTGAATCTCCTCTCCTCTCCGGACCAGACCGTAAGCCCACACATACCCCACGTCCAAACGATACCTACTAACTTCCCAGACGGGCCAACTTTCTCCTCCAAAATCCTCCTAATCCTCCGAAATTTCTACTTTATAACCTCCCGCCTAGGCCCAAACGCCTTCTCTAGCTACAACTTTGTCTACCTCTCAGCAATTGACATCCTTACAACCTACCCAATACCCTCCGAAAAATTCATCATAGATATTGCCCCAGCGCAAGCTGGTACCATCCCCCCCACACTTCCCGAGCGCCTCTTCGACCTCTACTTCCTAAACACAGTAGAACACTTTACCCACTCCCTCCCGCAGAAAATAAACGAGGAAACGACCCTCCCATGCACGTCTGTATACCTCCTCCCTTCTTCTGACGCTTCCTTGCATGCACACTTCGAATCGGCGCATTCAGTCATGTTATCCATTATTGGCGCTCCCAAGTCTGCGGATCTTGGAGCACGGATATTACCTTTCTATGTTGATACCGTATTCAAAACATTTCCTGCAAGTCTTTCAGCAAGGCAATTCCGCCTTGCTTTCGGCACGCTGATACGAGAATGCTCGCCACCTCAGGCAATCTCATCACTGCAGCCCCATCTAGCAGAAGTAATCATGGAAATCTTAGCCGAGCGTGCAAAGATCGCTTCGACAGAACCGCTAGACAACAAGGTCGATGAGGGCGCAGTAGGTCTTAGTGAGAAGGATGTGTGTATTTTGGCATTGATAGACGGGTTGCCAGCGATGGAGGTCGGGGTTATGGAGCGGTGGCTGGACCCCACAGCGGATCTACTGAATAGTGTTGGGAATGAGGGGAGCAAAGGGAGGATACGGGAGCGATTTTGGGATGTGCTTAGTGGAGAGTTGGACGTTGAGAGGGCTGAAGTTGCGGTTAGGTGGTGGACAAGTGCCAATGGCAGGGATAAGGTTTTGTTAGGGCTAGGGAAGGGGGAGGGCGTTGAGGGTATTAGAGCTATGTTGTAGGTGCACAACTATCATATTTCCCGCCGCAACGCGACGTCCACCTTCGGTTTGGTTGGTCTTATAAGGTTGATTGATTTTGGTTATGAGGTTTTGGCAGTTTAGATTATGGAAATACCTTAATTTATTTGTGGATCCTAATTTACTATTATACTAGATTACCACCAAGACTAGCTCCCCTAACAACTCTCTGTCTGTCTGATAAAGGACAGGCATCCTTTGATTTGAAGTAAAAATTTTGAATTCCAAAACGCCATACCAACACTCTCGCCATTCCCAACTTTGGAAAACTATTCTCTCTTACCGTTTATTGCTTTGTTGGTCCGTTTTTCCAACAAAAGCTGCGGGTATAGATAACAGCTAATAAAGGATGAAATCCACTTGACCCTGCGAGAATCACAGCAAAGCTACAGCTTCCACCAAGACTTGTCTGGGAATCTTATGCTCCAAAGCATGCACTATATAAAGCCACAGGTTCTGCGCTGTACTATTCGACGCCTAGGAAGAGCGGTTTCTCCCCAATTCAATATATAACCTTTTCCCCAGGCCAAGGTAGGTACCTGCTCAAGGCATTATACAGCAGTAATGACCGGACTAAGTAGAGTTATTACTCCCCGCTAAATGTTACATAATATCACAGAAAACCATTCAAGAAAGATTCCCCAAGAATCCACAAGTGTACCATATACCTCGAACCTCCCCCCACCCACCCAGAACCTAGGCAGAGAAACACCACTCAAAATCCGAAGAAGAGAGAAAGAAAGAAAAAAAGGGAAAACCACCATCCAGCAGGATAAGCGTTTGCTCCCACCAAGTTAACACTAGATAAAAATACCTAGCTAGCGTATTAGTGGTTAAGATGTCAAGGGCTGATTAACCCCCACTGTGGCAGCTATAGCAGGAGTTCAGTCCATGCGCGTGATGAGTTATTGTTGGATGATCCGTCATGTATGGTGGGGCGGGAGAATTGAGGAAAGTCCTGTCCTATGGGGACTGGGAGGATATTGGAGAAGCTAGGCTTCGTCAGTAGAGCTTTGGGGCTTGACGACGCTGCTACGAGGTGGTAATGATAGAATCAGACTCCAGACCCGCTCCCAAGGGTGAGGTCGGCGATCGGCGGGGCGGCAGAAAAAAGAGGAGATCCTTCTGCTTCCATTGCTTGCCTTGGAGAAGTGGCTGCGGGCTCTGAGATGCTATGTATATATATATATATATATATTCTCGCTATGTACGGTACAACACAGCGCAGCACAGGTCCCTAGCTCTTCGATAGTTAGGGAGGTTTTCTCGAGAACAGTTTCTTCTAAAAAATGATGTTTGTAGCCCTCTCCCCGTACTAGAGTATGACAAACAACCCCGATCGTGGTCCGCAGACCGCCAACGCCGAACGAGCGATAATGACTACCCACCAAAATCCTCCTCAGCCACCAACGACACATCCACAAACCTAACAAAAAAAAAAACCCAATATGAGAAGAAGCCATCTTTGCCAAACCATAGATCCTCGCATCAGGACAACATCGAAAAATAGAGAGAGAAAAGTGCTACCATCCCCCCAGCTAGTCAGATCCATATATAATCACAAGACCGGCCCAGGACCCACCCAGGAGAGACGAGACAAGCCCAAGAGCGAAACCCCCCCTCAAAGTGATTCCCGACTTGGAGAGAAACGCCCGAGGCAGGCTCACTCCCTCCCTTGGTAACACTTGGACAAATGGCTCATGCGCCGTAGTGGTCGGCTTGCGTGAAGAGAGAGAGATTAGCAGAGGCCTGAGTCGGATGGGGACTTATGTTGTGTCCGGATTGTCCTGGCATCATAGTGATCAGAATCGGAAAGCCTGGTAGCGATAAGAGGTTCGTGCATCCTGATATAGAGTGATGGAAGAGAAGGGAGAGAACTAGCAAGTTATAGTATTAAACCTGAGCTATGATAGGAATCGAACCAAAGAAAAAGGGTATCATACTGGTGCACCTAGTACTGGTAATAGTAACAGTACTTGGGTATCATAACAGTAATAATCTAGATCAACTATTCTACAATCCCATGCTTTTTGTCTGCGTTCCGGCAAAAACAGGAAAAACCCAGATCCTAATGTATCGCAAAAAAAAAAAATCCCCACAAAAACGATTTCCTCCAAAGGAAAAAGGAAAAAAAAACATAACAAAATCCCATTTAAAATACCGGTACAATGCACGACGCTAACAAAAATGAAAAAAACAGAAGACTCGAACGCCCTCCACGGCTAGAGATAGAGAAAAAATAGTAGCGATGCACAAAACCTTGTTTTGTGAGGAAAAAAATTCAACCAACCCTCGCACCAAACCAAACATCCAGAGCAAGAAAATGAGAAAACGATACTTTCCCCCCCAAACCCTAATTCGTCTCTAGAAGTATTGGATATCCCAAGTTTGCGCAAAAATAACAAAATGAAAGCCGTTGAGAGTGATCAGGGAAACCGGACAAAGGATATGTTAAACGTAAAATCAGGGCCCCCCTTCAACCCCATAAAAAAACCCAACCCCACAGCCCCCACAACGAAAAAAAATAAGAAATGAAAGAGAGGGCACAGGCGGCATATAGTAAATCAACCAGTAGATGCGCCCGCCTCAGGGTTAGTAGCAATGCTTTCATTAGCTTTCACGCCGTTTAACTTCTCGATCAGCTCCTCCTCTGCTCCAGGTGAAAAGACATCAGTGTGCTCCGGGACGTCTGGAAGCTCATCCTCTATCCTCGCTGGGACCAGAATCGGGCCAGTATGAGAGCCTCGTCTACTATTAGCAGAAGGTAAGTGCAGCAAATCAACATCATCCTCCCTGCGAGAAAATGGCTGCTGCGATCCTCGTCGGCTAGGATATAACGTGCTCGGGAGCGATTCCGAGTCAAGCATAGAATCAGATTCTGTCCCGGGTTGATTTGACTTGTTTCGTCTAAGCCTATCTTCAGCAGATAGGTTTTGCCATTCGGAGCCAAAAGTAATAACACTGGCTTTCTTTCCTGTATGGTGGGGAAATACGGACGATAAGTAACCCGTGAGGAGTGGGTGGTAGGACAACAAGGTCTTGAACATACCATGAACGGTAAAACTTCCAGAGCCACGGGCCAAGCCTTCAGTCTCGCCGGGATGCCCTTCACTATTTTTCGAGGGATCGTCATTAGACACATCCCTTGACTTTCCTCTCCTATGGCTAAGTGCTTGGGACTCTCTCAAGGTTCTTTGCAGACTCCTTCGTATTTTTGGACGGCCGGAATCTTTATCTTTTGCTTTACTTTTGTCTTTGCCCTTGCCTTTGCCCTCTTCATTATCTTTCTCCTTCTCCTTCTCTTTTTCCTTATCCTCATCCTTCTCTTTACCAATTTCCGCGCCAAAGCTAGACTCGGAAAGAGTCGGTGTAAGTGAACGGTGACTGTGGCCAGTTTCAAAGCTTTGGTCATCATTAACCTGAGTGGAAGACGTTGTCCCATTAGGTAACATGGATGATAATGACGGAGATCGGGGAACAGCTGATGACATAGACCCTCTAGCGCTGTGGCTAACCCCTGAAGTAAAATCCCATGTAGATCCATTCTTTTGGGTTGATACGGGCGAAGTAGCCTGAGAAAGTTCCTCAACAGCAGAAACAGAGGTAAATGTGGCCTGTGTAGGAGTTGGCCCCCCTGACAATGGCGATGTAGGAGATGCACCATGTATTGATGATGCAGGTGAATTCTGACAACTTATCTGAGGGGTAACTATGGCCAAATTTCTTCCGGCCCGCTCTCTCGCAGACTTACGTTCCTCATCAGAGTCCATTGCCAAAATATCCCGATGGCATCTCAGCTTCCACATCTCCATCCGTATCCACTGTAACTTTGCTGCCAACGCGCCTGCGGCCATCACAACTTGTTCCCTTGCCTTTGGCTGGATCGGTGTCAGTATGGTCAAATGCTTTGCATTCCGGAGGTGGATCTGTAGTTGACGATTGCAATCCGCCAGCTTATCTTCCGAGTCAGATATCTTGTGTTCAATCACTTCCCTACGAGCTGCCGCAATTTCCGCGGCAAGCTGAGTATCAATACCACCCCTCAAATATTAACCTCTCCGGAAGGTGTCTGAACCGAATGCGAGCCCGAAGGTCCAGTAATGCTATCCATCATTCGGATACCCCTTGCCCTCTGTCCTTCATAATTCCCCCCAACAACACCCCGCATTCGAACACCAGCTGAGCGAAAAGTAGCCGCATAATTTAATTTGGCAAGCCAATCATTCATTTCCAACTCCGAATCCGCGATGAAATATTCCTGCATACCTCCATGTCGCACAAATGCGAAGGCATTCTTATGCTTTTTGTAACCCTTATCCAATAAAGCAACCGCGTCGTCCGTCGATATCTGCGCATCGGGTTTGAACTGCTCCAATGGGGGCTTGAAAGTGACCGGAGTGCCAGGGTTGTGCTTGTGATGAGATTCGTACTGCTGCATAAGATTTTTAATCCAACTCAAGTTTCTGAAAAAGTAGAGTTGTGATCCAGTGAGAATAGCACCCCATTCGTGCCACGGGCTTCTGGTCTTCTTCTTTTTCATTTCCTTTCTCCACAAGATACCGACTTTTGTTACTTTGATTTCCACTACTCCAGGATCCGCACCCTCTGGATTCTCCATAGTGGCGGGCAGTAAGAATGCATCAGGCCTAGAACGCGCAGACATGATCTGTAAGACCCCGGATCGGAAGAATGCCCGATGTAAAGATGCCATATCCAATCGTGATGCTGTGCCGGAATAACTATATGGATCTTCAATTTGCACCACATCTTTCAGACTAGGTCTCAAGAGATCGAGCTGCTGGTCAATTATAATCGCATAGGGATCAATCGGCTCCTTGAGCCGTTTTCCATCTGCGTGAGCTCTATTGAAAATACCTCTCTTCGGCCTATGGGGTACTATCTTCTCTCCGTTGATATCGAACTCGTCTTCCATGCGAATGAAAGGTGTATAGGTGATATTGTGGTAAAAACACTACAAAATCAGTATTACACTTGAAAACCCAATCACAACGCCTTACCTCAAGTATCTCGCTAGACAATCCTTCGTTTGCGATGGCACGTGATGTATTCTTGACATAATCTGGCTTTTGCATCTTATGCTTATTATTCTTGTTGAAAAAATCGGTGTGCAACATGATCAACGAAAAAGCGACGTAGTAGGCCTGATCCGAATCTTGGTAAATAAATGGGTTGCAGTCATGGTACCGGTCTGCGAATGTCTGAAGAACACGGTCGATTTGTTGAGTTTCTGAGGGCAGTTCGACTTCCATAAGCAATTTCCTAAGAACGGTAAGCGAGTTTCCTAGCGAATAAACTCCAAAGGTTGAGCAATCATACCTTAGCGCCATGTCCATCGGTACAGAGCCAAAGTCGAAGGTCGCCATATATGCCTTCAAAACTGCAAGATGAAAAGCATCCCCGTTTCGAGCTAATAACGATGCCACAACACTCTTACTCACTGCCTCAAAAAGCTTCAAAAGATACATCTGTGGTGTATCGTCGTCATTTCTCTCAGGAATGGCGACCACCTCCTGCGAAGTAGCCAGGGAATATGGGCCCGCACTGTACGGTTGGGGTGAAACATTTCTAGATACCCCACCGCCGAACATTGGTTCGCTGTCCCTGCGAATCCGACCAAATAAGCCGCCAAAGCTACTTCGACCGCTCTGACGCCCATCCCCATTCTGATCGAAGGAGGACATGGTAGAACTTCGACCCCTCATAATTCCTCGAGGTGTCAAAGAAGTCGGACTAGAGCGAGTGGAATGGGTGGAAGCTATCGAGTTGGAACGAAGAATCGGAGCCGCCGGTCCAGCAATGCCCAATCCTGCCAGCATCATAGACGTGCCAGTATTCTCTCCATCGCGCGACCTGGGAGGTTTCGAAGGGGAGACCTTGAGGCGTTATCTTGGATGAAGAGCTGATAGATTTCCGACCCTGAGGAGTAAGTTCAGATTCGGATATTGAAGGTCGACCTTCCGACGGCGGTACCCTAATCGGTAACGGAAATAGTGACGTCTCCTTCTTTTTCCGTCTAGGGAGCCTAAAGAAAGTAGTAGTAGTCGTAGTAGTTTGGGTTGTGGTCGTTGTAACGTAGTGCTCACCAGAGCTAGCTGTGGAGCGTGACGAGTCTGAGAGCCGCGGGGCAGGAATCGGGAGAGAGGAATTTTGGTCACCGTATGGTGGTAGGTCAAAAGCGCTCGAATTGGGAGTTGTGCCTGTAGGCGGTCGCCCTGGTTCGTCGAAAGTAACTCTGCTGACACGCATGCTAGAATTGGCACCACTCACACTATTGCTCCCTTCCTTCCTCCTCCTCCTCGTAGAAAATGAACTGCGTCTGGGAGGCTTTTCGGCTGAAGGCGCGGGTACCGTAGCGCCAGAAGCTGGCTGTTTTTCCGAAGATTTTTGTCGCCAGAGACGTATTGTTCCGGATCGTTTGGGAGGGGCGGGGTTCCCAAAGTCAACAGTAGGGGCGGTAGTAATAATGGCAGGCGTCACAGGCGTCTTGTTGGTGGTTGGTAATGGAGGAGGTGTTTCTGCTGGAGCCTTACCGCCAATAGCAGAATCTGAAGCATGTCTAAACCGCAACATGCTAAAGCGAGGGCCAGACTTTGAAACCAACCCAGACGGAATATTCGGAACCGGCTCTAGCACCAATGGAGAAGATGGTCGGCGATTTATCTGCTCGCTAGAGCGAGCGTGCGCGGTTTTTCTAGTGACATCAAGACTTCGCCGAAGTCGAAGGTCCGTCTCACTTCTTCTACCCTGATGGCGCTTAAACATGACGAAAACCCTTCACAAACCAGCTTCACCAGAGAGAGAGAGAGAGAGAGAAACTTTATCCAAGAAGAGTAAAGGAACTGAAAATATGTGGAGGTTTATGAGAAGCAGGTGTGTTAACGATGCACCATGGTTTTTGGTTGCAGAGAAGACCGAATGGGAGGGGGGAGGGTTGACTGGGCGAGTGGAAGAGAGAAAAAAGGTGAGTGGGGAGTTAGGGTGGGGCTCGTGTAAGAGGTCCGGATGTATGATATGTGAGGCCGATGAGATGCGGGTCAAGTAAGGACAGAAAAGAACAGAGAAACAGCCGCACCCTATATCTCTATAGCGTACTCGAGTATATGAATATGTGTGAGCAACCAGATGTTCTAGAAATATGAACACAGAGAACAGGAGGGAGGGGATGCCGCAAGGTGTGTGTGGAGATCAAGTGCAGCATGTATGTTGGTGCTTGTTACTCGAGTACAAGGTGTGAATGAGCACCAATATGTACAGTACAGTAGTACGAGTACAGTGCCCGTAGGCAGATCTTCTGCGGTGTGGTGGAGCAGCAGTGATATTTTAGGGTGCTAAGGAGCGAAGGTAGATGAGGTGATGGGATGACGGACAGGGGGATGGGGGATGGGGATGAGAAAGACTACTATAGCGAATGAGATAGGTGATCGAGGGCAAGAACGAATGTCACGACGAGAAGGAGTGAAAGGCGGTGGAAGTTGGATTTGGTGTTTGCTGCTGCTGCTGCTGCTGCTGCTGATGGTGATGGTGATGGTGATGATGCTGGAGATTGTGTGGACAGAGGGGAAGGGATCCAAGGGAATGGATGCAGACAGGCAAAGAGGGTGCCGGCAAAAAGGTAGAGAAGCAAAGAGAATGTGGTGTGCAAAAGAGTATAATACCGTAAACCAGTAACGGATCAAGTCAATGGAACTCATCGGATGTCAGCTACGGCATTGCTCTTTCTCCAGCATCTGCATCTAAGCCTTGGCTTTTCTGTTCCAACTGTTCTCAAC